GTGTGTGTGTGTGTGTGTGTGTGTGTGTGTGTGTGTGTGTGTGTATGTGTGTGTATTCCCCAGTTGGGGGTACAAAAATGCAACCGTTATGCAAGAAGTCTTCTCAGTGTCCTCTGAGTGCAGTTCAGTGTTGGGAAACAAACTGCGTTTTGAAAGAATTATTCCTTCCTTCATTTTATGTTTCTTTACAAACTTAAACCTCCTCCACACTTCTTAACGTTTTGCCTGTTTTAAAAATAACCTCTCTTCCCTCGTTCACCCATCTGTGAATTTGTACTTAAAAAAAAAAAAAGCAAAGTCTGCGTTTCTCGCTTTGCAGTTGGTTTAATTTTATGAAGGTATTTATAGAACAAATCTACTGTGGGAATCCCACTTTTTTTGCTTTGTCACCTTTTGCCTGCTTCCTCTTTCCCACATTTTATCATTCTTGCCGTTTTCTCCTCCCTCACTTGATCATCTCCTCTGCTTCCTCTCCCCTCCCCTCGTGTCGTCCTCTCCTTAATCCTCCCTTTCCTTTGTTTCTGTTAGCTGCTATATTAAGGCTCCTCCAGTGAACTGAGCGTCTGGCTGGACGCAGCCGCTGGAGCTTGTTGAAAACAGTCAGTGTTAAGTTGTTGACTCACATAATGGTATATCTGACGGGCATTAGGTCGTCCAAGAAGTGCACAGCAATTACACATTTGTCGTGTCCCTGTGGGAGGTGTGTGTGCGTGCTTCGTTCGTTGTTATATTACAGCTGTAGTTCACAGACTACCTGTCGGCACATGAAGCAGGCGGAGGCTGCCTCGGTCTGTGTGTGTTTGTGCACACATGTTAATGATCACCTGTCCAGACTTGAGCAGATAATGAGACCGGAGCAGGCCCTGCTGCAGGCCTCCTTCCCTTCTCTGATCCATGTTTTTACAGACTCGGCAGACTGATCAGAACCTTCAGGACAGATTTTGTTCTTTTTGTCGATGCGTTTCACTTCGTCTTCCTGGTTTCAGAAGCCGAACGTTGAGTGTCGATCAAACAGCCGTTTTGCTCGTTTAGCTCGAGGCTGGTTCTTCACATGTCAGGCTGACGGTTCCACCGTGACCCCTGCGGGACGGTGTCCTGTTCCTGCACTCTGTCTCTACAGTAGCAGGCTGGATATCCTGTTACAGCACTGTTTGTGTGAGTCCAAATAAACCTGCAGAGCGGGGAAATCTATACTGCAGCTTTTTTTATATTGTATTCTTTTTTATTTTGTTGTTGGAAGGGAAAAGAGTTGGACTTCGAGTAAGATTCCTGAACGTTTTTTTGTTGGTATTACTGGCTTGAGGCTGACGTTCATTGTAGAATTGATAATAGAAGAAATTGCAAACCTCATGACTTTGTGTTACCAAACAGTGTGTTCTGACAAAATCCAGTTTTTATGCATTAAGATGCACAGAAACGCTGAAGTAAAACTGTTACAGAACTCTACCATGTTTCTGTAAACGGCACACCCCCTTTTTTAATTGGTTTGGATCTAAAGTTTAGGAGCCCTTCTGCCAGATCAGACCAGAATCTGAACTTTAGTTTCAGGGCCAGGACAACATGGTTTTGGCCCAGCCGAGTCTGGTGCAGCCGGTTCAGTCAGTGCGCTGCTTTCCAAGTTCTTTTGAGGTTGATTCCTCTGCCAGAGGTCCACTTATAAAGCTTTAGCTGGCGCTGCCAACGTGTTTTTGTTTTTCTTTCTTTTGCTTTTTAGAATTTGAGGGCGAGTTAAAGGTTTTGCACCAAGGCCTTTTTGACCATGTTTAGTTTACCCTCAGAAATAAATAGGGGTGTAAGAAAATATCAATACACTGAAATATCGCGATATTTCATTTCCCGATACTGTATCGATATTCTAAAGCCCTGTATCGATTTTTTATTAAGGTTTAAAATGTCAACTTTCCTGCCAGCCATTCATTTTTATGTTGTAGTTCAGCCTCTGACCACTAGTTGGCAGCAGTGAGCCAGCCATTTGGCTCCTCTACCTGTTGAGGTAGAAGCTATTGTTAAGTGTTGGGTGACCATATTGTAAATTAATATTAAAAACTAAAAGCTGCAAAAATATGTTTTCAAATTATTTATTGTCAAATTTAGTCTAATAATTGAAAACATGGATGAAATAAGAAATATGAAACAAATACAATAAAATACATACAAAGCAGAACACAGCTAAATGTATCAAAAGTATGTCTATGTAATATTAGAATTTTCTGCGACAATGAATTTTGGTTTTTCATTTAATATAATTTTTTAGACAAAAAAATCGCAATATATCACCTTGCTTATAGTATCGCAAAATATCGGGATATATCGTATCGTGACCCCTCTGTCGTGATATGTATCGTATCGTAAAATTCTTGTCAATACACAGCCCTAGAAATAAAAGGGTCATTAGTCGTGTTGGGTCGACATGTGAGTGAATTGGGGCATCAACACAGGCTTTTAGGTGGGATGTTGGAAGAGGGCGTCAACACGTTTGCAAAGTTTATGATGGAGGAAAAATAAAAACATAAGTTTGAACGGGAGCGGAGATTGTGACGACAGCTGCTGAGGCTGTAACATCTCTACCCGCCCCTTCTATCCAAGCACAGCGCAGTTTATTCTTTGTCGTCTTCTGCCTTCATAAAAACGCGGTCCATGCTCGCTGCTGGATCAGAAATTTGCCAAGAGCCAAGGCCCGCCCCCTATCCTAATTCTGATTGGCTAGTAGGAAGCAACAACTGGGTCTCATCCGGAGAGTTGTCTGTTAAATCTTGGCCAACCCGAGATCGGCACGGCGCACTGAGGGCATCTTTACAAGGAAATGAGGCGATGCCAAAGGAAAGCCTGCATCAGCACCGTAACATACCCATTTAAAGTGCCTGTGATGTGCATGTCACTCAAATACGAAACGTCAAAGAAAACTTATATATATTAAGAAACTTGGCATAACACACACGGTTTTACTCATTTTGTCACATAACTGGCAGATTTTCTAAAGAATTTAGCTCAGCTAAAGTGAAACAGGAAGTGACATCAAAGGGGAATTCTTTAAGAAATGAAACTCCAATTTTCTTTTACTGTAACATTATTTGAACTGAGTCTTCATCTCTTCGATAGAGACTCAAACTAATCTAAAGAAACATCAGATTCTTCGTTCGTCTGTGTTGTAATGGGCTCGACACACGGGCAGCGACAAACTACAGTGATTAACGGCTGTCATCGCAGCCAGGGTGAAACCCGACACACGGGACGCGATAGCGATCGCAGCGTTGCGAATCGCGCTCTCAGATCGCTTGTCTTCACAAAATTTGATTGGTTCTTGACTCTGAAGGCGGGTGTGCATTACGGACGTGTAAACTAAACAAGTCTTGCGATGCTAATGATATTGAAAAACAAACGCACATCAAGATACAATTTTATGAGGAAAAACTTACCATAAACTTCACCCTGGTGCCAATAAATTCCCACAAAGCTTTTTAGTAATCACTTGGTGAAAGTGTTAGCTAACGGCAGTGTGT